GCACGACAATCGAAAATGGGCCTTGCAGGTAGAGTTTGAAGTGGAATTGACCACAAAAACGCACAGGCAGCGTGGATTCGTCTAAAAATAGCGAAAGGAAAAGTCGATACATGCAGTGAATATTCAAAGGTGCAAACCGGCAGTTTGGCTTTGCATTGCCGATTTCACGCACCTGCAAAATCAAGGAAAACCCTGATGTTCTGACTCGATTAATGAACTGTTCATTCGCACACCGATCGATTGCAGTTTGGCGGGCATTTTTTGCAAAACTCCAATTCCATCTGAATAGAATGGGCAAGATCGAGTGAATAACTTAGAAGCTTTTGTCCCGCTCTAACCAGAATCGTTGCTGAATTTTTCAACTTAATGGGCTGAATCCAGAGATTCTTGAGATATTCATAGCCATGCAGCATGCAGACTTTTCCGCTGTTCGGTCCATGTATGGCAAACACGGTGTTTATTCGTCCGAAATAGAGAATTATTTAAAGTGGAAACATCGAGGAGCGAAATAGTAAAGAATCCCTTTCCCACGTCAGTCTACTTAATTAAATTCGAGTAGGAAAATCGGCGAAAACACCGCAAATCGCCTGAGCTCGAAGAATAAACTCGAGTGCATTCGAGCCAATTCCTAATATTTCAATATTTCCCCATTATCCGGTTATCTCGATGCCCATCGAGAACTCGAGCCCCGTTCTTTCGCTACTCGACTTTCCGCGCAATTTAAAGAAGAGAGCCCATCCAACGTCGTCAGCTTTTAAACAGACTACGTGTTGATTATCGACGCGACGAAAAAAAAACACCTTCTTAATTCGCAATTACAACCTGTGGCTACTGGAATCGTCTCAATTAGGGCCGATCTGATCGCTGGTTAATGTTCATGATAAATCCGACATGATAGTCGTGACACTCGGCTTGTTCTTCATTTCGACGAGACTGAAAACTTCCGGCCATCGCATGGCAAACAACGATTAGACGGTAATTAACATTTAACGGGCAAATGACAGTCAACACGTAGCTCTTTTGGAGGACTTGCCAGATTTTCCGGACGATTTTTTGGGAAATAGATGAGAAGTTTGCAAATTTCTTCAAAAATCGTTTCTACACTCCTAGAACAGACTTTGGCCTTTCAGATTCCGCCCTACGCAATTAATTGCCGCTTTCTCGTTATGACGAAATTTTTACATAATCATTTTAAAATTCTAATTTTTTCAAAAAATCCGTAATGATGACAGCAACTCGAAGCTTTCCGGACTTTTACACCGCAGTTTTGCTCTATCTGACTCTAAACTGGGCAGGTTGGTACTGATTTTTTTTAAACTAAGAAGTGCGAAAACGGTTTGCAAAAGTTTGAAAATTTGTCAAAAATGCCCTTATGATGGTAGGGATTTCGAACTTTCAGCACTTACACAATTAGATAGTAATTTTCTCTTTCCAACGCCTTATTCCCCGTTAAAATGCCTCGTTTCATTTTTGAGAAACCTGTTAGGCCCCTAATGCTGCAGGAACGTTTCAAAAAACACATCTCGAACTCAGGTTTGAAATTTTTCCAAAAAATGCCTATCGGTGACAGAATCTCGAAACTTTCTAACCTTTTAAGCCACACTTTTGCTCTATCTGACTGTTTACTGCCAAATTTGCAACTGGTACTAGTGACAGAGAAACTTCTTTTTTTAACTAAGAATTGCGAAAGTCGTTTGCAAAATCATTTTCAGGCAGTTTGAAAATTTGTCAAAAATTCCCTGATTATGGTATCACTTCGAAACTTTCTGCACTCCTAAAACGGACTTTCCTGATTCTAATGCAATTTGTTACTTTTCTTGGTTGTCGAGAAACCTTTAAAAAAGTGCTGCGATAACCTTTCACGCAAAACGCATTTTCATACTCAAATTTGAAAATTTGCCAAAAAATCTCTAATAACGACAGTAGCTCACAACTATCCACACTTTTGCTCTATCTGATCCTGAACTGCGCAAAAGGCT